ATTTAAAACGCTGGTGCACTTCAAACAAAGATTTAGTTTTTCCACAAATAAAACTTATATATTGTCTCACCAAGTTTATCTTCCTATACTCTTTTACGTCAGATGTACCTTCATATTGAACATAGAAAGTGTCCCACATAGATTTTGAGGTCCTAAGCTTCATCACATAGTGATAAACCTTATCTGGAAGAGACATTGCTGTGACATATCTTGCTTTAGTATCTAGAGCCATTTTCTGCTTGTCCTCATCACTCCATTGATGAGGGAGCTTTGAAATTTGCCTTTCAGGAATGGTGGCAATCGTAGTAGTGACAGAGACTGCTGGAGATATTGCAAATGAAACATAAGGTCCATTGTCAATATAGTATGGGATGTAAGGATCCACACCTTCCAAGAATAGAGAATCCGATTTTTCTAGATACTGAAGTTGTCTCTAATGAATCGGGGAGGTTTGGCAAGATGTCATTGTTGTGAAATTTTGTGTTTGAATTCACTTGATGGAGACATGCTCGTTATCACTAAATTCGCTTCAAATCACGAACTGTTATCTCCATCTTCAACTATATGTTCGATATTGCAGAAGGTTCATTTGGTGTGAGTTTTGTCTTCTTGAAGAATATTTGTCATTTATAGAAATTTACAATACATGTTCAACGATCACTGAATAGACTCAGTGATGATCACTGAAACTGAAAAAAATATAACTAAATATTTTTCGCTAAGTATAGTAAAAGATCATTATCAAATCACTCAGAGAGTTTGAATCAACATGTTATTCGTCGTTTTTTATTTTATTTTATGTTTTTAAGAAAGCAAGAGATCGGTTGATTATTATGTTATGTATACTATATTATAGAGCATTTGACAAAAAACTCTTAAAAACCATTTTTTATGCATTAAGTATTGTTTTATTGATGCATATTACTTAAGATTCAAGATTACAAATGATTTTGCGTAAGTACAACTTCTTAAAGTTTCATTTTTAAATTCGTGTAAGTAACTGCATATAAACATAATCAAATACATGATAAACATCTATTTTAAATATAGAAAATCTAAAATATAATTAAGATAATCATTAAGTTTCTAATTAAATGTTTATTTATTATCTTTAATAAAAATTATATTATTAAACCAAAAATATATTACTTTGTTATTAGACCTAAATTAAATTATAATAAAAAATTGAAATTAAAGAAGTTACACCAAAAAAGCGAACTATTAAATAGTTAATTTAATATTAATATCGATTTTTGTTGCTATCTTCAAATTTATATTTAATTCAAAAATAAAAACATTATCGTTTTATCAAAACCACATAAAATCGTATTGAGACAGATAATAAAAAATAAACATTAAAATGAAGATTTATCTCACTGCATTGTGCGAGTACCCTTCTTATATATATATATATATATATATATATATAGAGAGAGAGAGAGAGAGAGACGAGTTACGTTGAAAATCGCTCAATTCTTAAAAACCATGCAAAAACCAATTTTCACCAATAGGAAAATTTCTTGTTTTAATTAATTTTAATCAATAAAGGCCTAATTGTCATTTAAGTTGTTTTTTTTATTAATAATGGAAGGTATTATAATTTATTAATTTTAGAAACATAATAAGTGGTTATGTTAAATATGGTAGGATTTAATTGGTTTTCTTAATTTAGTTTTTTAAAATTTAAATATGTTTAATTTAGTTTCAAGATTATACGAATTAAAGAAATTGAAATTTAGAATCAGAAATTGTTTGATGAAATTGTTTCATATTTTATTTGGTTATCTTGTTCACTTAATTGTTATGAATTTCTATGGTATGGTAGATGCAGTAATTTAATGAAACGTGTTCATATATCAAAAGCTTTATCGATGAAATTGTTGTATAATTTACGTGGATACGAAAATATGTTCCGTTAGAAAAATGGCAGTAATTTAATTGGAAAAAGGAAAACAATTTAATGAAACATATTTAGATTGTTTTATGAACACGTTTATGACTTTATGTATAAAGTTGTTTAATGAAACTTTTATGGATGAACTTGTTGCATAATGTAATTTCTTTAGATAATCTTGTTTTCTTGTCAACAATTGTTGATGAAATTGTTTCATCCAATTGTTTTTTTTTTTTTTGTGATTTTATTCACTTAATGGTTATGAATTTGTATGGTATGGTGGATGCAGTAACTAAATGAAACGTGTTCAGAAAAAAAAAATTATCGATGAAATTGTTGCATAATTTACTAGGATACAAAATATGTTCTTGGATAATCTTGTTTCCTTAGCAACAACTGCTGATGAAATCGTTTCATTTTTTTTTTCGGGTGATCTTATTCACTTAATGGTTATGAATTTGTATGGTATGATGGATGCAATACTTTTAACGGTTATAATTGTGAAATAAGTTCATGTAATGGTTATTGTAAATGGTTGATATGTTATTGTTAAGAACATGGTGTGTAATTGGCAAACGGTGAAACCATTTCATAGTAAGATTGATTCTGAAAAACATGAAAATGACAGATGACTCCTCTAGAAATACGTTGATTTGTGTATTGAGGAAACGATGAAACCATTTCATTCATTAAAATAATGATTTTTAATGAACACGTTCATGGATGAACTTGTTTAATTTTCAAGATTATTCTAAAAAATTTTCATAGAATCTTTGGAAGTATAAGATGATATATATAGTTTTTAAAACAATGATTTTGTTTCATTAATATTAGGATATACATGATCTTGTTGCATCGGTTAATGATATTTGATGTTTTACACTTTTGTCTTTTTTTCAATTAAAAAATGAACTTTTATTTATTTATTTTATTTTCTAATATAAACTAATCTAATCTTGACCATTGATCAAGAAATGGATGGATGAGATTGGTTTGTATGATTTACACAAATGAGAGCGATTTTCATTTGATCCCTCCTCTCTCTCTCTCTCTCTATATATATATATATATGTGTGTGTGTGTGTGTGTGTAAACATAAGTTATTTTTATTTTTATATAATAAGATTTGGTTTTGTAAAAATACGGTCATCTAAGTAAGATAACCCTATGACTCAAGCCTCATGAGTTGACACAATTAATTTTATCCTTCTTTTTTATACATCTCTTTATTCCAATATTTCAATCTCTCACCAATGTGGAATATTTCAAATTCAACCTCATGAGTTGACATAATTGATCTCAATCTTCTTTCTTATACACATATTCTTTTTTCAATATTTTAACCTCTCATCAATGTGGGATATTCCAAACTCAACCACAATTCACAACACCTCAATACTCATTCATCATGATATCACCTCAAGACGCTTGGTTTTTCCTTTAATATATATATATATATATATATATATATATACACTACTAGGTTCAGACTCGTGTATTACACGGGTTACTAATAAAAATTAAGCTGAAGTAATATGTTTTTTATATATAAATTTAAAGAAAGGTACAATTGCGATTAATTTTTTTATATAAAAATGCTCTTACTCGAAAATTAAATGTTACATATAAAAAGAACGGTTTTTGCTTCGATGATCAGAAAAACTTTTAAATGGAGACCAACAATGTAGATTCAGTACGCACTGTTGCGTAGTACAAGCAGATTGTTTGTATACCTATGTATAAGACAAGCATAGGGCATTTTAGGTTATGGGTAGTACATGGTGAGAGAGAACCGTTACTCAAGAGAAGTACATAACCTCTATGATACTCTGCATGAAAGACGAAGGCAGGGTTGAAGGATACAAGCGAAAAAAAGTTTGGAAAGATGAAAACTGAAACTATTTACAAGTTCAAGTCTGAAGGTCGTGGTCAGAGCAAGAGATAGATCATCGACGCATTATATGATGAGACAGAGTTTTTTTTCAAGACTTACGTACAAAACCTTTGTCCAGCTCTGCATGGAACACGTTGTCTGGTTCACATTAACCGCAAAGCTAAATGTAGAGGCTCTGTTAAGCTCTGTATAAATGATGAAATGAGGCTTGKCAAACAGAAGGTCTAAGAAATACTCCAGAGTCTACGACGRAGAATATTCTGCGTTGCAAGATTTGTAAATCAAGACGACCAATCTGGTTATAAGTGTGAAGTTCTTTTGAAGAGTTAATTGATAAAACTAGCCAATGCTTCAAATTTGTAAAAATTTTCCGTGCACATAACTTCTGCATAGTAGATGCAGAGCTGCTGTGTAGCCTTGCATGAACCACGAAATAATGCATAGAGGTCCTGCGTGGTTTCTGCACTACGTCTCCAGAACTCTGTATGAATTGCTGAAGTTTGGCCAGAGACTGTATGTAGTATATGCAGTCCCTTTGTAAAGCTCCGTATGAAGGGCAGAGTCCGACTGAGATAATCTACATTGCACATGCAGATTCTTTATGATCGAATAATTGTAATGCAGACTCTAAATGAAAAATAAGTCTCTTAGGAATTAATAATAATATGAACTGATAAGATGAACTTGCAAAACAACATTTATAATACAATATAAATTGAATAAATATAAGTTAAATATATAAATCATTAATAAAATAAGAACAATGTATCATATATTACTAAACACTTCTTTGTATACAACATTGGTTGTTTTACTGTCAACAATGCCCTCGTTATTCATAATTAGTACTTTCAAACCTTTCTTGCTTTTGACTCTGGATAAAGCAACATATAACTGACCATGCGTGAAGACCGGTTGTCATAGAAATAAACCAACTTTTGATAATGATTGTCCTTGGCTCTTATTAATGGTCATGGCAAAACATACATCAATTGGAAACTGTCTTCTTTGAAATTTGAATGGTAGTAGGTGTTAAGGACATTCTTGGAATGAATGTACGACTTCCAATATTGCTTCCTGACAATGTCAACACACGCAGTCTAGTACCATTACATAATCCAGATTTTTGATCGATATTCCTCAGTAACATGATAGGGACACCAACTTTTAGTAGAATCTTATGATTTGGTATTCCTGATAATTTAAGACCATTTAAAACATCAAGAGATACAAAGTTTTATCGAAGTCATCATGAAGCTTCTTCGATTCACATAATGTATCCGAACTTAAGTACTCATTTTCTTCTCCTGGAAACAATGACAGCAAGCATTCATTTATTTCTTGAACTACTTCATTTTTTGGGGCAAGTATTGCTCGTTCTTGAAAATAAGTTGAGTTGTTGATGTTTTCAAGAATTGAGGGATAGACAAACTCAATTAGTGCAGATATAGGATCAATGCAATCGGTAATGAGAAGATCATGAGGTATCTCAATAACTGCTTCACCATCATTATCACCTACAACTTTTCCTTCTCCTAAGTCCAAAATCCATTTTGCAAAATCCCTTGTTTGTTCAATTTCTGAAGTTTCACTGTTTGCAGTTAGCCTCATGTTTCTAGTCAACTTTAGGACTTTGCATTTTTCCCAAATGTAAGATGAACTTAATGATGCATTTACAATGTCTTGTCTACCTGCATTGGGAATAACTGGCAGAATCTGTCTAAAATCGCCTACAAAAACAATTACCTTATCCCCAAAAATCATTTCTGAGTCACCACTGCGTTGAGCATTGAAAATATCATTCATACTTCTATCTAATGCTTCAAATGCATGTTTATGAACCATTGCTGCCTCATCCCAAATTATAAAAGTAGTTTTCTTTATTAAGCCTGCAATATTACTATCTGGCAAAGAGAATCTTCATTCAGAATGAGCAGGATGTGAAAACGAGAGTGTGCTGTTCTGCCACCGGTAAGAAGCAAAGATGCAATACCACTGGAAGCAACATTTAAAACAATCTGTCCTTTAGATCTTATTGATGCAACCAAGGTCTTCATAGGAATGTTTTGCCTGTTCCTCCATGTCCATAAACAAAAAATACACCGCCTTTTTTATCTGCAACTGCAGTCATGATTTCATCATACACACCTCTTTGCTCCTCTGTAAGAGAGCAGTTACAAGGATGTGAAACTCATCTCCTAAATTATAATGATTATAATCCAGTTCTTCTGCAATTAAACAGTTGTTTGAGGATTCAAGCAAATCATTATCAGGATAAGGCAATGTGCTGAAGTTTTTCAACGTCGAATTGTTACGAAGCAGAATCTTTTCAATTTCGAACAAAGTTAGATTCTTCACTTGCTCTTCATTAAGAGATAAATCTGTTGAAGATAATATAAATGAACATAGTTCGTACATGAAATTAAAAGTAGACACAATTCAATAACAATCATAGTTTTTGATAATAGTTGTGTAAGTCTATGCTTAAGATATAGAATTAACATACCTGCTGACTGTAAAGCAATTTGTTGATTGTACAGAATCCCATCTGCTAAGTATTGYCATGTTTTTTCCCAAACAAATTCAGGTCTAGATAAACTGTTTGATAGCAGCATGGTTGCAAATAAGAAGCGGAGATAAAAACCAGATGCAGTTAAATTTGCTTCTTCAATGGCTTCAATATATTCCTTGTCATCGTCTAAAAGCCCAAGTGCATAACATGCATCTCTGAAAGTTGGAAATGTTTTTCCATTAACTGTACGAATATCTTCAAATGATTTAGGACCTTTGACTTTATTCAACAAAATTCGTAAGTAATACCCTTCTCCTACAGTAGGAGAAACTGAATGAATCCGTCCAATTGAGAACCCTTTTTTCCTTCGATCCCAACATCGTTCATCCAATTTCCACACAAACTTTATAGGAAATTCAACGTAACTGAGTTCTCATGCCTCTTGATAAATTTTATTACAATGCATCCAAGATATGAACATTGAGGACGCCACAGATGGTCTGTTTAGTACATTATCAATATTATCTTCAACACCAAACACTACTTGTTGTTGTCCCGGAAGATGAAAAGAAAGTCTTAAAACAGAAGGAGTCCTATAATGAACATCATATCCAAAAATACGCCATGAAGCTTCACATGCAGAAAGGTATCTACAATCATAATACTGTTTTATCTCATCAGCAGCATTGACAGTGACCGCATCATCACTGTTTTCTACAATTGCAACAGTAGCTCTATCTGGACCCTTTTTGATGTATTTGAACAGATACTTGATTGAAGATGCCTGATTGCACCACTCAACATTGATGTGGGCTTGATATCTTTTCAACAGATATATATTATATGGAACGACATTTCTGTTGTGTAGTTTAACACCTGATTTCTCAATAAAACGTCCATCCACTCGTCTGCGGTATACAGGATAACCATTAACATCAATTAAAGTGTGTTTAGAAAATTTGTTTGGATATTTTTTTGAACACTTTCTTTCAACCATGCATGGACAATTAATGTTTTCTTTACCACATGGTCCGTGCATCATGAACTCTTTTACAAGTAAGTACAACTCTGGATCACTGTTTTTGTCTGGGATTTCAGCTGAGATGATAGAATAAATCTGTTCAACAGTCGGTAGCTTGAAATCTCGATGCATAAACAGACAGATATGACTGTGAGGCAAGCCTTGCTTTTGAAATTCAATCGTATAAACAACTACAAAAAAGTTACAATTTAAATTAATAAAGATAAGTCTAAAAGTATAAAGAAATATGTTCATACTGTTATCATAAATTGAACATACCTGCTTGAATTTTTCCAAATAACTCATTCTCTTTTAATTCCTTAATAAGTGCATCAAGCTTGATCTTAAATAAACGACAAAGCATGTCAGGCCTGTCGTCTGGATTTTGGCATGTGTCCTTAATAAATCTTCTAACTTCTGGCCATTTTGGATTGCAAGTCATGGTTAGAAACAAGTCAGAATATCCATACCATTTACAAAGGGACATTGCATCCAAATAATTTTGCATCATGTACCGAGCTCCACCGGTGAAAGAAGAAGGTAGTATAACACGTTGTCCAATGTTTGAAAGATCACACTCTTCTTCTTCTTGTACATTGCATAGAGAATCATATGTCTCGCACCTTAGGAGTTTCTGCTGATTACGTATATAATGTAATCTCTCAGTTTCAATCATTGTGTATCCATCAACAATAAATTGTTGTAGAAGCCTCCTTGCATTTAGAAGTAATAAAAACATATTTCTTCTATCTTGAAGTTTGAAGGCGAAGAACTCCCTCATTGTTACAGTTGTTCTTTTACGTTTGCTTGAAAATGTTATCTCTCTATGAGGAATATCAACTCTGTAACCATCTTCTTCATATGGAAATAACAACGGGTATTGAAGAGGAAGATAAGAAGGATGTAATTCACTTATTGATTGTAAATAACTTGTCTGATGTTGTACAATGATATCTCTTTTTTCAATTGTACCACCATCATCTCCAACAATTAAAGCTGCAACTTCTGAAGCTGTTGGAAGGTTATATGTTCTACCATCCTTTTCTCTTTTTCCAATCAATCGTAACTTTACCTTGACATCCGGGTAGCATTCAAAACAATCTCTTGCAATTCTATAAGACTTCAGTAACACATTTTTTGCATCTAGTATGTCCTTTAAGTATTGAATAATCTCAATATCAAGGGAATCAGAATTTGATGCAGAAGCTTCTTATTTTTCAGTAACAAACATAAAATCAAAGTGACCATTAATATAACCATACACTATAATTGAAGTAAATCTATTAATAAAAATTTTAATAAGGATGAATGCATACCTAAATGAACTGTGTCTATTTGCAACTTCATTTTCAGTATCATATATGTACAGTTGAGAGAACTTCGGTTTTCTTTCATCTGCTGGTAGAAGACTACCCATCCTATGRTAGTTTTGACCATTAAGCCTGTATATGTGTGGTGCATTTCCACTATTAATGGAAGTATCAATTTTGCCACCCATTGATGTAAATGAGAACATTGAATTATAACGACGAATGTTCTTCATAAAGTATTTGCTTTTTGAGTCCACACAACGAAACAGATTTAAGTAAGAAGAATCCATCTCTTTCTCTTTTGGAAGTTGAACTTTGCCATAAAGACAACAAAGGGAGTAACTTGTTTTCGTCCTGTATTTTTTCCTTCGAAGAGCTTCATCTTTCCATAGTTTTGCATCACAACATTCACAAATAACACTTTGATCACCGTGATCCGAGTAATCTGTTTAATAAATTTGAATGTAATAAGTAATTAGAAGTATTAAACATTTGAGTATTCAATAATTACCTTCAGATATTCCTTCAATTTTGTCTATAATCGTTACTAGATGGTCCGCTTCTTTATCTGATGTAATATCAACGATTTTTATATCAGCTACATTTATATTCGTTCCTTGTAATCTATGATGCCCTAGTGATAACCGAACCATAGAAGAAGCTTGATCTGTTGTCGATAAAGGGATGGATGAACTGGCGGTAGAACATAACCAGTAGCGTTTGTTTACATGAACACTTGTTGTTTAAAATATACAAATTTAAGTAATGTAAGACATTTGTTAGTTTTGAAAATTTGTTTGGAGCATTCCTTTAAAAATAAGGTGTACAAGAAGTTACACATACCATTAGGACTATCAGATAATGGATTTGTGATAGTCATATCTGAAGAAGAATGTGGCAAGTTTGTATGTTGAAACTGTAGACATTTGTTTGGATCCATATTCTCATCAGGGTAGGGAATATTATTCCTCCCAGATGAAGATTGTAATTGCCCACCATAATTTGAGATATCATCTGTAAAAAGTTACAATAAAGGAGTAATTTCAAAAAGTGACTTCCACAAAATTCCTGAGCAGGTAATATTTGTCTCAATGAATATAAAATTCAAAATGCTTTTCAATTAGTTACCTTCAACATTTGATGATGTAGATCTCACTGATTGTATACTTCTATTCAAAACCGTCTTTCTAAATTTTCTCCTTTCTCTAGAATCCATGGAATTTCTTTTTTAAAAGATCTGCAAGCAAATTAATTTTTCAACAAGAAAGCATTACATGAAGTTAGTACATGATACAATATTAGAATGAACAACCATGAGAAAATGGATTCGGTTAGACAATTGTGTTACATAATGCCTTTTTTGAATGTAGTAGGAAATTGAAATTGTCTGTGATAACAATAATCTCATAAGAAGCAAATCATTACCCAGACGAGGCAGTTGTGGCAACCGTAAGTTAATGGTCTAAATACAACGTAAATGAAGAAACTGCTTATCAGTTTTTGTTTGCACGTTCGTTTTTCAGAGTTATGTACCAGATTGTTGGACCAGAGCTAATGAAAAGGCCTAAAAACATTTGAGTGTTGTACGCAGAGCTACACTCCACACACAGAGGTTCACTTACGGTTCAAATGGATCTATTTAAGTGGCATTTCTACCTTTACACGTTTATTCTCCTTTTTTTGTCGCTTAATTGATGTTTGACATATCTAAAAACAACTCTGATTTGTTCTATAGCTAACAAAGTGTCAGTCTATTGTATCTAATGTAGTAAGTCTGGATATACAAGTCTGGACGAATGTGTCTTTATGTAAGTGCATAATTGTATTCCAGTCTTACACGGTAGCATTCCTTACGAATCAGAGAACGCATCTTAACTTATTCTCTAAAATGGAAATTCAGAGTTCTAACCGCTTGAACATGTTCAGGACAGAGGAAACTTCTGTGATATGTATATTTGTCACTAAATCTGAAGTCGCTATCTCCAGACTTTTGGCTTATGTACACGAAAATCTGGATATATGATGCCATGGGTAGATTCAGAGTTGTATGGCAAAGGTAGAAGTTACATCAAACATACAACTCATCACAAATCTCCAGTCATATTCCACAACTACAATTTAGATTTCTCTTCAGCATTTATGACATTTACGTGAGTACGCGAATAACTGCCTTTAGACTTAAACTCTGTATATGGTTCAACTCATTTTGTGACGTATATATATTTTGTAAAAATACAACTGTCTGAAGAATAGAATAGAACTAATCAGGCAGACGACAAAATGTTAATCAAACATAGGCATTCATACGATATTAAGAAAATAATACAATAGTACTTAATTAAACAACTCCAACAACTAACTAAACTAAGTTTCAGCCATTTTAGGAAAACCATAATTCTAAAGTACTGTCTGAAATATCTTCGAAGTAGTAATCTATTTTTAAAGTTGAGGGAGATCCACATCCAGTCTCAGAAATAAATCCAGGAGCCATAGGAGTTATACAAAATCATCAAAGAATGCAACTTCATCATCAAGTTGTATTGAATCAAAAGATTGATAATCCGAAGGTGGTGCATTTGCAAGTGGAAGCTTCAGTGACATTTGTTTGGGATCATGGTTGGACATTGATGTAGTATTCGTTGGGGGTGGTTTTTCTATAGCCGTTGGCAAAACAAAATTTGTAATAGCAGCAGCACCATGGAGTTTGATGGCAGGATTATCATATACCATGGCAGCTTCCTCCGGCGTATCATATGTTCCCAACCACAGCCGTTGGCGTGTAATCGGATCCTTAATCTCCGCTGCCCATCTTCCCCAACGTCTTTTCCGTACTCCTCTGAACTTTCTAACATTATCCTCTGGAGTTTTCTTCTTTTTGATAGTTCTCTCCTTCGAATCTGCAGCACATGGCCTGTTTCTGGTTTTCGTCATATTGGCATTGACAGGCATCATTCTAGGTTTGCTTGAAGGTTGTATGTWAATTTCATTAGTATACTTCTTTACATGCCACCGTTCAAAAATGTAGTCATCTTCATCTTCTGAAGAATCAGTTGCATAGGGATCGGTCATTGATATTCTGATAACTTTTGGGAATGGAGAATCTTCTTGATTAGAAAACTTCTCTGACATTGTCGGAACCTCCTTTGTTATACGACTTTTGTGCTCCGTTTGTTTAATCGGAGTGAAAATGAAACAGTCCTCCATGAATATCTGGTTTGCAATGAAGGAGAAGAGAAGTTTAAGAGTCGATAACGGTGGATAGAAGAGGAGAGGGAATATTTTATTTCAACAATTATCGGATTTGAAAAAAGTATAAATTTATTTAAAACTTTGGAGGTTATTTCAACCGTCACTATGAAAAATATCTGTATATATTTAATAATATATGTCCTTTAAGGTTTCCAATAAATTTCTACACTACACCCGAGTTTCCTTTATTTTGTGTCTATTTTCAGATTAAAATTAGATGAAACAATATTAGGGGTTAAAGGAAGAAAAAAATGAATGAATGATCTCTGCAGAGAAGAAAATAACTTGTAATCTGTGAGGGATATTGCCATATTTGATGCAATCACTCTGTTTTTTATATTTATGAAAAGAAAGGTGATTGCATCTAATCACACTTCATTCCTTTCAAATCATTTTATAAAAAGCAGATTGGTACTAAGGTATTACTGGAAGAGTTAGTATGTGTATATACAATGTTTAAATGTGTATGTGTCATTCATATTGTCACTGTGTACAAATTTCCTTTTTAGTATGCTTTTCATTAGCTTTGACATCAGACGATTTAATAAACTGAAGGGAAGGGCTATATAATTTGTTTATATGACTTTAAATATATTCATTTCATTTTGTAACATATTTTACATATGACTTTGTCTTTATGCATAAAAATGTATAAGATTTATATACATGTTCAAAACCTTGAAGCATTCAATTCTTCATAAGCTTTTGCATAGAAACAGTGTTTTGGTGAATCTTGTTTTCACTTGCAATTAGTGATTGTATTATATAAATGTCGAAATAACATACTTCATTTAGGCGGAAGACCTAAATGTATTATAAGTTACATGTTTAAATTAAGTTATAACATTATCACTTAAAACAACTTATATGTTTACCATGTTATGCAAAGGATGAAGTATAATGTTCAAGTATGCTATTCAGACTTTTAACTATTAAGTTATAACATTATTACCTAAAACTAACATTCGGGAACTGGTTTCAAGGAACTCTTTACATTGACAATCAAGWATTACTATTTACAATGTAAATCGAAAATCTGAAGTATTTTTAGTACTATTTTGGATCCATATTGCATAGTTTAAACGTTAWTGCACATTGTACGTGTGTCAAACGACGTATGAAAGTTATTGTATAAGTCTGTAACCAAACAAGTCAGAGTTAGCCTCTAACTCTTACATTTAATTGTGAAATAAATATGTCTTTAGAAGTTTTTGTGATCACCGAAATACATTATGGCATAACACGTGTAGAACCTATTAGAAGGTCTGTTTGAAGAATGGAGTCACGATTGAAAGACAAAATGTTAAAAAACTTGCGTCACTTTAAGCCCAAAAGGGTACAGACTTATAAGTTTGAAGTACACCTGAGATTTAGAAGCGGAGACTGAAAGTATGATATGTAAAGATACAACTATTTTCCAAAACTTAAGTGCAGAGCCTCTGTGTAGCACTGTATGAAGCACGGAGGTAGTGTTACACTGACATAGCACTTGCAGGACCTTTGTCATGGTCTGTATCAAGAAGGGGAATTTCAACGTAGACCATGAACAGACGAACCTCTTTTTTAACACTTAAGTGCAGAGCCTCTGTATAGTACTGTATGAAGCAGGAAGGCAGTGTTAGAGTGACGGCATAGTATGTGCTTAACTTCTGTGAAGGTCTTCATGAATTTRGGAAACATGAACGTAGCACCTGAAGCGACAAACCTCTTCCTCAACATTTAAATGTAGAGCTTATGTATGCCTCTGTATGAAGCACGGTGACATATTGATGGTGTAGTACGTGCAGGCCCTCTGTCAAGGTCTATATGAAGAAYGGATTCAGGGTTGACAGCCTCTAAGGTGAACAAACTTCCTAGAGTGTAGACCAGGTACGGTGTAGATTTGCAAGTGTGATGTACACTTCAAAAGTATGTCTTTACTGTTGAAGGTAATGCATGAAGACAAAGAGCTCTTTCTCAACACTTAAATGCAGAGCCTCTGTGTAGCTCTGTATGAAGCACGGAAGCAGGCTTAGAGTGACCGTGTATCACGTGCAGAGCCTTTGTGAAGGTATGTATGAAGAAGGGAAGGCTCAACGTAGAACATGAATAGACAAAGTTCTTTTTCATTACTTAAGTACAGAGCCTCTAAGTAGCTCTGTGTGAACCACGGACCGTTGCTAAATCTCACCGCGTGTCTGTTGCAGAGCCTCTATGAAGGTCTGTATGAAGAACCGAGTGAGGCTTGGGTGACACAAGTGGGAAAAAAATTTCAAAGTTTAGACTCGAACCGTCCAGAGTTGCACTTCGGAAGTACTCACAGAGTAAGCGGCGGGCCCTGAACGTAGTGCCTGAAGAGAGTGAGCTCTTTCTCAACACTTACATGCAGAGCCTGTGTGTAGCTGTGTCTAAATCAGGGAAGCAGAATTAGACTGACAACCTACTACAAGTAGAACCTCTACTAAAGTCTGTATAAAGAAAGAAGTCAGGATTTGACAGACACAATGGTGAATAAATTTTCTTAATGAAGACTTAGATGGTCGACAGATACAAGTTTGAAGTCCATTTTAGAGTAATAGATTGAGTTTCAACGCAGTGCATGAAGACACAGAGCTGTTTCTGAACACTTAAATGCAAAACCTCTGTAAAGCTCTGTATGCAGTACAAAGCCATGGTTAGATTGACAACGTACCACGTGCAGAACTTTGTTGTTGTCTGTACGAAAAATGCCAAGCAAAAGTGTAGTATATGAAGAGATAGATGTCTTTCTTAACACTTATGTGCAGAGCGTCTATGTTGCCAATGCAAATAAGTTTAACACTAAATCCAAAACAAAAAATAATGAAAGCTTATTTGAAGTTACATTCACCAATTAACAGATCATTGTAGAAAATAAAATTCAATCACCAAAACAATAATGAATACGAGAGACAATGTACTTGTACACCGTAATCATGAATATTGCTTTTGAAGTGGAGAAATTGTTAACATTCTTGTATCGACTCCTTATTGTTAAATTAGGAACAACGAAGAAAAACATAAGAAGTTCTCGATACTGCAATAGAAATTCAAAAGAAAGAAAACTAATACTTTAATTAATAACATAATTCTAATTGAAGGTAGAGGTTAAAAATGATCTCTGTTTTACATTAGCTATTCAGAAAATACAATATGAGTGAAATAAAAGTACATTGATTGAAAGGTAAAAAAATGCTAAGACAAAAAGCTCTAGATGTTTTCAAGCCTGCAAAACTTCTGATTTTGATTCCCTGCTTCATACAGAACTGCRCAGACGATCTGCCTGTACCAGGCATTGGACCTGAAGTTTCTTCCATATTCGTTACAGATCTACTTTTCAACTGGCAAGAACCTCTTCGTCCAAAAACGGTTAAATACTTACAAGAAGATATAATTTTCATGAACATGAAAATCAAACATTACAGAAGTTTGTACTCCAAATGAATTTAATATCAAATCCAACACAAATGATAATGAAAACTTGTATCATAACATATTCACCAATGCATAAATAATTGTCAAAAAAAAATCCAACCACCAACACAATACCCAACGGGAGTATCACTGAAATTGTTCATTGAAAAAAAGAATATTATTTCTCAACCTTAGGGATCTTTAATGTTTTTGTAGCCAATCCTTTTCCTTCCTCATCGGCATCATACAAACTTTCAAAAAGCCGCTTCCTTTCAACTCTTTTGCTAAGCCTTCTCACACACAACTTTTCTTCTGAATCCGGACTGTCTGCAGTGTTTTTATCCGCATCGGATGGTGTTGCATTCTCACCAGTATATGAAACAACATCCTTGAAATAAAACAATCATTAGTTGTAGCATTTGAAACACTAATTGCTTGTAATTGTCTTTACAACTTACATTGAACATGGCAATTATAGTACCTTTAACTTCTCTTGGGAACTGGAATCTGTTGAATGCAGATTTACTGATTCCGATTCAGCACGCTGCAAAGTAAATGCTAAAATAATGTTAGAATAATAAAGCTTTTAGACTAAATTGGATAATACTTTTTGCAAACTAAAATCAGCACCTGTTGAGAAGCACATTTCAGCTGCAACTCACTCAAAATGGAAACATCATCTGTTAGCTTTGAAATGCCATAAATGAAACAGATGTTCTTAATATTGTAGTCAGTTATATCAATTTTTATTGCAAACCTCCGATCAAGTAAAACATCCAACTCATCTGGAAACATGTCTACATCACCACTCTAACAAATAAAACAAACAATTGTTACATTAACAGGTATTTGGAATACTAAAAAGTAACCGTTCAAAAAGGATAAAGAGCTTAAACCCTACCTTTTTAACTTTCTCATACAATTCTGTTGTCGTTTTGTTCAAAACCTTATTATCTTCTCGATCAAACAATGTTAATGATACAATTCTTGTATCATCTTGAACTCTCAAAGATATTCTAACCTATATGATTATTAAGTGAGTATTAATGTGAGTGTGCAATAATTAATGAAAAACACGGTTATTTAATTGTTACTTACTTTGCCAACACTTCCGTCTGTTTACCTYTGCACCTATCAGTCGTACAATCAAAACTCTCCCTCTCTTCTTTCATACCAGAGTCATCATTCTTGTCACTAATAATGTACGTGGGTCGAACCTTGCGGTTACACCTTGTGCAACCCATGTAAAACCAAGGAACATCTTTTCTAAATGCTTTTATTGTTCCTAATACAATTAGTGATTTGGCCTGTATAAAGTACAATATRTTACACTAAAGTCCATTTACTCGATGTAAAGACACAATTTAAAACAATCATTACCTCAACAATCTCACTGATTTCAACAATATTTGCTCTACTGGTTCTGTCGAGAAAATCTTCACTATATGAATAGGACATTCTAGAGAGCA